GAACGAACGAACGAACGAACGAATCCGAACAAAGGAAGGAAGGAAAGAAGGAAAGAAGGAAAGAAGGAAAGAAGGAACGAGGGAAGGAATATGTAATCGAACATGGAATGGCATATGATCCAAATTGAAGTGGAAAAATTGTGACATCTTTAAATGAAAATTTATGGTAACAAACATATAACGTATAGGCCATGAGTGATAATAAATAAATGTATTAATAATAATAAAAATCAGCGTTAGCCTAAATTAAGCCTTAAGTAATTCACGGCAACTGTCGACCGCCGGCCGGAATAAAGAATGCGCAACTTCAACAATAGAAAGACTTTGAAGTAAAGGGAAGTGAAGTGCTATCTTAAATTTTAGTAATGTGTAAGCTTTTCATCAATATATCTAGTAAAAAATGCATTTGTTTTCAATAATGATAAATGATGAGTATTATCTATGACTATTTGTCATTTTGTTATTTAAGAAGAATGCTGTCATATTACGGTCTGGTGATTCAATTGTTTCGGATATTGCTCGATTTGCAATCAAATGACTACATTTGGCGACTTTCAGATTCAGCTTTATTTATAGTTTTTTTTCTAGTTAAATTGACAGCTAGAATTTATTGGAAAAAATGCTTTTTGTTTTGTCTCAAGAATAGTTTCTCAATATTTAACATTCGTTTTCTTTCCCTAAAAAAGCATTCAAGAATTTTTTTTTTTTTTTAATACTTTATTATTTTGGTATGGAAAAACCCGGTTTCTGTAAATATATTTAACTGCTACGACTACTGTTACCGCAGGTTAATGTTTCGATATAGATTAGCAAAAAAAAAAATTGTCAGAGCTTATAACTGGAAAGCTAGACAATTGAAAAAGTTAACACAAAAAGTGTCAGGCTTGAAAATGTAAGGATATTTTCATAATGACTTTTAGTTATCGAATTTGTCAACTTTATCGATCTCATCGGGAGTAATCGACTCAATAGGTTTGATGCATTGTTATTTATATTACATAATGTATTACAACAGAATTCTTGCAACATAGTCTTCAATTGATCATCTAAATAATGGAATTTCAGAAACTTTTCATGTAAGGAAAGACTTGCATTCATTCCGATAATTACTAGCGCGGGCTATAGTTGGGACTGCTTTGGTAAAATAATAATAATAATAATAATAATAATAATAATAATAATAATAATAATAGTTCCTGAGCATTATTACATCTCAATGCTCTTAAATTTAAAATATCATTGAGATAGATACCAATGAGATAGATAGATAAAAATCAGAATGCGAACAAATACGTTTTAAGCGCTGATTTAAACGAGCATATCGTACTAGCAGTCCTAACGTTGTATGGTAGTTGGTGTGTTGAATGCAAGTGAAAAACAACTAAGGACGTTAAACACTGCGTGAAAAAGTCTGTAACTAGTTCTTCGTCTCAGTAAAAGAATTTTTCCAAAATTCCAGAATATTCGGGTATTCCATTGACGCAATTAATTATTCCAACTATTATTATTGTATATTACAAATACTAACAAAGAGAAATCATTATTTGAAATATAAATATCACGCTACCTTGACAAAGCAATGGTCTCGCACATAATACAACCAAAAGTCCGAGAAACTTCATTTTTTTAGCTATTTCAATGGCGTTTTAAGACCATCTCCGTCTTCTCCTAACTTGGGTCGACAAAGCTAAACTAAGTTCTCAGTGACTGAAGTATCGTCTAATTTTCGCATTACGGAGTCACGTGGTATTAATCCTTGAGCGCGCAAAGGAATGCATCTCTTGCGTAACTGTACATCTTGGATAAATCGATTACGGATTGATATATTTCGCTACAGTCTCGACTGATAAATGACTTTTAATATTATACAATCATCGATGAAATAATATATATTTTCATTTCTCACGCTCTTTTACTAAAAAGTGATATTTCTTACCAACGGTGAAAATAACACCATTGGTAAGACATTTTTAGGGATCGTAATGAAAAGTAAAAATCCACAAAAATTGTATTTCATTGTTTAATTACATATTAAACAGAATATTACTTGGCTGCTTGGAGATACGGATTTTACCTTGTCGTGTTGAGAATTCGCTGCTCTCACTCGTAAAATATCACCTCAACACTCAAAGATAAAATCCGTAACTCCAAGCGATGATGTAATATCCTCTATATGATGGTTTTAAAAGTATATTACAGCTAAAAAACCAGATGTTTTTTTAATTTGTACAAGAGCTAAATATTTCATCATTTTTCAAGGCATGGCATTTGAAAGCTATCAAAAATAAGTAATTTCATTATAAGATAGAAATACGTGGTAAGAAATACATTCTCAAACTACGGACAGGTAATATATATAGTACTAAATATTTCAACAAGATTAATTCATTTCTAATAATATTTATCAGTTGAGTATCATCCTTGCCTCATCCATATCATTGATCATCATCACCATTACCACCACCACTGCACCCGACCACCTCAGTTTCAAGTTCATAATCATCATCATTAGTCGTAATTGTCATCAATAATCATCAGTCATCATTTTTTCATTTGATGTATTCGTCAGCGTCAGCTGTCTGAAGTATGTTATTAACAATCATTTCCTTCTATTAAACCTAGATAATATTGGTACATGTTAGAGGAATATTATAGCTACAATCACAGGAAAGTCCAATATCGTATAATAGATAAATGGCTCGTGATGAACGTGATATATGCGACACGCTAACCAAAAATACCGAAAAAAAGGCACTACCTCAAAAATTAACTTTATATATCTCTTTTTGATTGATTGGAAAGCTGCTTTGATAAAACTAGACATTCTATTCTTGCGCATTTTATATATAAGTTTACAGGGTAAAGTCAAATACTAAATATATACTAAATATGAGTAAAGGATGGATTCTATGGGTCATCTATATGTCACATTGGCCATTTCACCTGATTTACAACTGTTCCCTTGTCTTAAACCGATCAAGCTGATACGACTGACTTATTTTTAAAACGCTAAGAATAAAAGTAATTTTGGCGTTAAACAATTTGTGTTTAAAGGGACTCTGAGGTGCCAGACACATCAAAGCTTAAAACGTACATCAAACCTTGTTGATTTTGAAAATCGAAATGAAAATTCCATGAAATACGTTTTTTGGGGTGATATCGTCCGTCAAAGTTGCGAAATGACTTATGCTGGGCTCCCTGTGGAATATCGCGGATTTGATGGCTTGGGATGTAGTAACGTAGTATTTTGATTAGCATTTCCCATAATTCAAGAGAATCCATGAAACATGAAATTTTCATTCTTTAAATTTGTCATAAATGCTATTAGTTGAACTCTTGGTGGAATTCTAGTTCATTCAACACGAGAGATCTACACTGAGAGATCTACACTGTACTCAGCCCCTGCTAGGAAAATGCTAACCAAAAATAGTTGACCCATAATCCCTTTCAAGGAACACAGTCAACTCATCTGGCCCGTGTACCTCCCTCACTCCTTATTGGGAAAGCCACACCCCTCCAATTTATTCTTCGCATTCCTGCCCTTCTCTCTCCCATTTCCTCTTTTACTCCGATGAATGACTAGCGTCCGAAACGTCAGTAAGCTTTTTCATCTTTTCACGGTGTATAATTTACCTTTTCATCATTACTGTTTCATTAGAAACACCGACGCAGCGTACACTAGTTTTTAGCTAGTTATATCATCTTTCCATTTAAATGATAATGAATGGATTTGAATGGCTTGTGTCCCCTGCGGTTTGCCCTAATCATTCATTCAGAACGAAAGAAAACTCTGAATTCTAGAATTTAAACCCAAGTTCCATTCTTTACTTATTCAATTTATCATCTTTTTTTTCAGTGCTATTAGACTGGTATAATGCAAAGTCGAATAGAAAAGCAAGCATTCTCGCAAGTAGCAAATAAATAGGAACAAATAAGGCTATTGGCCTGATTCCTACTTCTATTCAATCATGCTCAATATTTACAATATGGATTGCGTTTCATTATCATGGAATGATATATGTTATAAATTTGATCAAAAGTACTTATTGCAATACGTAAACATTGTACAAATATCCATTCCCTCGTATGACAGGAAAGTAGACATATATGATCGATATTATGTGATGAAATACTCAATGCCATTTAAGACTTTTACTGTATTCGTAAATTTTGTTAACGGTGACATAATTTAATGTTTTCTTGCGCACTTGGTTTCATCCTAAGCCAGATATATCTGCACTATTGCTTGCCTAAGTTTAAAAGTTTCCCCAAATTGCAACTCAATTTATAGCTACAAAGCCGGTATATCAAGAACACACACTCACCTCGAGCTAATATTCATACTTTGTGGGTTTGAAAAACACGCTCTTTTCATCGTCACAGCTTCTAAAACGTCTACATTTTCTCCTTCAACCTTAGAATTAATCTAAGTATCGGCCAAAGCAAAACTCGGTTGGTTACGAGTGAGTAATAAGTTTATTACAGTCAGATCTTGCAGGTCTCTTCAGCTGACTTCATCAAGAAACAGCGTATTCGCTTCAAATAAGTATATGCTAATTTCTACCATATATGGGTATAGAATCTGGCACATGGTTTTACAGGTGTTGCCGCGATTCTCGCTCGAGGATCTCATTGACACTTGTTAGTTTGCATTGGATACTGAAAAATGTGACCGGGCAAACATCTTATATGCACTTGTTTTAAACCGTCAGAATGTATTGGGTTTGAAAAGCAATTAAAAAATATTGAACTCAATAAAATGCTTCAAAAAACACAATTTATTTACAGCTATTTCAAAAAAAGATCTTGGAATGCACTTTTTCAGTATGCAGTATTCAATATTCAACCTTTTTTGAAATAGCTGTATATACCTAGAGTGATTTTCATAAACCCATGAAACAGATATCATTATTAGTTAGTGTGTAATAGTGAAATGACAACAACAGAACTTGATGGCATTAGGGTCTACTAATTTGTAATTGGCTGGTTTATATTTCACGGGTTGTGAAAACCACTTTACCTACTTAACCTAAATTACTTTTAAAATATTTTTAAAGGTTTACACCGAAGGATTTTCTAACTATTCCCTTTTATACACACAAAAAAGAAAATGTTTAAAAAGAAAAAGAAACGAAAACAAGAAATAACCGGAAAGAGAAAGAGAAAGAGAAAAAGAAAGAGAGAAAGAGAAAGAGAAAGAGAAAGAGAAAGAGAAAGAGAAAGAGAAAGAGAAAGAGAAAGAGAGAAGAAAAGGGAAGGAAGAGGGAAGATTATAAAAAGTAAAGTGGAGGCGAGGAAAATTATTCATTTCTTTTAAAAGCAGCTCCTAAAAGCATGAATAATGGAAGAATAATTTTCTAAGGGAACAATAGAGGGCACGACACAACCGCATTCTATATCTCAATCTCCATGCATCGATTTTCCACCTGAACACCTCCCTGTTCACCAGGATTGTCTGGGGAATCTTTGGGTCGTTCCTGTTGATCTTCTTGTTGTGTTCTTCCCTCTTGGTTCTTTTGGCTTCTCGTTGGTGGTCTTTCTTCTTGTTTTTCTTCTTCTTCGGGTTCAGCCTCAGAATTCTGCATTTCGATCACGGGTTCCTCGTCGTCTTGTTTCTTAACAAAGCGTCCCCTTCGATGGCAAAAAGAGAAAAAGATTCTTCCTAAGGCCTTGTTACACTTAGTTTGTTAGCTGAAACTTTCATATGGGGTGTTACACGGCGCAAGTAGACTTTGTGAAACTTTCATCGCGAGAAAGTTTCACGAAAAGTAGAACCGCTTTCTACTCGTGCACCCGAAACTTGTGTCGTGAACAAGTTTCAGGACGAAATTGCGCCGTTTAAGAGCCCCGTGAAACTTTTCTTGCAACGCTATTGCGAGCAAGTTTGAGCTAAAAGTTTTAACGTGTAATAGGGTCTTCAGCTCCCTTAGACGTACTGTTATAAGCAAAATTTTAAAATTGCTGCATAAAAATCTCACAGTAAAGACGTGCTGTGACCGTGACGGTAGTGTCCGTGCATTTTGAGTGGATAAGCAGGAACCTCGGACCTGTTCAAAGGATATCAACCAATTGAATAGAGACAGAGCATGCGCATCAAAACAAGATAGGTATCGGGGAATTATTTTAGGTATTTACCTAATTATAACAAGCACAGCAGCAACGATAACGATCAAAATGATAGCAGCAGTTACAGATCCACCAATGATAGCCTTTTTATTACTCTTTGATCTCTGAGCTCGTGGGGGAGTTACTGGTCTGTGTGTAGAAACCAACAAAATTGTCTTATTTATGGCTTTACTGATGGGACCAATAGACGTCGTGACTGCATCTAAGAGAACACCCCGTGATAGAACTTCCGTGGAATTCATTCCAGATTCTGGAGGGAATTTAAGGTAGAATGCTAAAGCGGCAATCATGTTTTCAGGGTTTTTTGAGTAAACCGTCTGCATTGGGTAGCCAGGCAGAAAATGAACTAGCTCACTCGTGAAGATCATGTCATCGTTGATTGAACGTCTAAAAAAGTGAAGGAAAATAAAGTACGTCAAACGTTAATGTTTTAAACCGGGATTAATTAGGAAACATTGTCACACCACAAATAAGGTCTATTGTTCCTGCCTCATGTCATGGCTGCCATCACGTGATGGTGCAAACCCTCTATTTTGATAATTACAATGTGTAGAAGCGGCCGGACAAAAGGAATCCACTTACTAAACTGTAATTTACAGAAATTTCTTTTCCTTTCTGGAAATCGTTGCGCGCTCTTAAGCAACTTACTTTGATCTTTTCCTGGGCGAAGGACATCTTTTATTTGTTGAGCAGAATTTGGTCACCTCTTGAGCCAATGTTTTCTTAAACGTAAAATCATACAACTGATTCCACTGGAAAGAAAGCAGAGAAAAATATTTTAGGGGGTGTTTAAGAGTAGAAAAAGACGAGAAAAAGGGCCACTATACCTGTAAGACGTCAAGTCCTTTCACCCTCATCCTGACTGCGTTCTTCTTGTCATGCTGTGATGGAAATCGTGGGTTCCAATCTTAAAGATAAAAAAGTCAGTATTTCGGTATAAAAATGGATGGATGGATGGACGGACGGACGGATGGATGGATGGATGGATGGATGGATGGATGGATGGATGGATGGATGGATGGATACTAAGATAAACTATCTTACTTCCTACCTTTCTTAAGAGTTCGAATCATAACCATTTGACTTTTTAAAATGTCCTTTTTCCGGTCAATATTCTCCAAGTCACCAAGAAAAGCGAGCACTTGTACTTTGTAGTCAGTATATGCTTGAAGATTCCCAACTTGCACCTTTGTTTCGCTGCTGTTCGTAGAACCTGCAGAAATGTCTGCACCATCGGCTTTAGAAATGGAAACAGCTATGAACCTGGTAGATTCTGATCCAATCTTTGAAAGCCCGTCCCACTGAACATTGATGGTCGAAGAATTGTGATTTGTGACAGTGATGTTCCAATCTCGATACAATTGCACTGAAGGAAATAAAATAGAGCATAGCCATAGCGTTTTCGACCAGGATCATAAAGTGAGTGAGAATTCAGGGCCGTAACCAGGGGGGAGCACAGGGTGCACGTGAACCCCCCCCCCCCADAAAAGCATAAGGTCCACTCATCCATCTCCTTTTTTTTTTTTTTTTTTGGTTCTGCTTTCTTAAAAGAAACGATCAATGGTCCGATTTTATTCGATGTGCACCCTCCCTGTAAAAGTTCTGGTTACGGCCCTGAAATTTCAGGGAAATTACGGAATGAAAATAAATTAGATACAGGGAAGGAAGGGAAGGAATTAAACAAGAAATCAAAGAAGAAAGAAAAGAAATGAAGAGGTGAAGGTTGGAATTAAGCAAGCAAGCTAATAAGCAAGCTAAGATAGGATACACACTCAACACAAAAGAAAAAAAATTAAGCTAAAGAAAGAAAGAGGAAGCGATTAAGCTGAGAAACTGATAGAGAAAGAATTAAGCAAAATGAAAGCAAAGATTAAGAGCCAAGGAAAGCAGTATATTCTTGCGTACCTTCATCAAAGCCATTTTTAAAAATTAAGTATGAAGCATGCAGTGCCGTCTCTCGTTTGAATGGCCAGGAATTACCCGACGAATGGAAACGTACTTTAGCCGATTCGTATGAGACAAGGCTGACCAATTGTCTCCGAAGACAAAATTTGTCGACAGTACGATTGTTACCATTGATAAGACCAATATACAGACGACTGAAGTGCAAAAATGGAGACACCACAATGGTTAGAGTCTTATGATCAAGCAACAATGGTGGGGAGCTGATGCTCATTCATAGGGGTTCAAGAATGACGTAGCAGCGGTATTGCACTCAACCCCCAACTTTGGGGTCTCTGGTTTGATTCCTGGCGGACTCATTGACCGGCCATCTCACGCGAGAAGAGTAATAGAACTCTCCCTTGATAACACCCTAAATTCCGATCAGATTGAAGTTTGAGTTATGTCCTGAATTTGATTATCCAAAAGGATGATTTCACGGCGAGACATTGTACAACAGTGGTTTTTACTCTCATGGGAATGAACATGGCTGCCATCGTTATAAAGGTCACTCTGATGTAAATGTTTACATACATACCTACATGGGTAGTACCAAGGCGGTAAGGTTGTGACATTAACCATCACCACTATCAAAGCCCCTCTGTGCCGTGGTTTCAAGGTCCATTCGCATTCGAAGTTCCAGGATCGAGATGAAATGCTTGGCACTGTTATGGTTCCTGCTAGTCGATCCTCAATGACGCTACCGCACTCTGAAGGACAAAAATATAAATCACTGTGATTGAGTTGTTCATAATACTCCATCCAATCCATTTCAGGGCCATTCTTATTCCTGTACGTTCATCCAATCCATTCCATGTACATTCTTATTACATATACCTCATCCATTCTCATTTTAAGCGCAATTATTGACATATGTATAAATAAATACGAACGCCCCTGAAATGGGTTGGATGAGGTATGATACGAATATTTACCTGAAATGGAATCAACACATAGACGCGGTTCCAAATATAATTAACCTCTTTACGTTCTCATTCGCTTTTCTTTCTCTTACTCGCTGTCGATACTACAATTTCCTAAACGCCTTTTGCGCGCTTTCACATGTGATTTCCTCCTAAGGAAAAATTTACTCGCAAAGTACTCTGGTAATTGAAGGAAAATAACATCATCATGACTTGTCAGAACATTTCATCATCAGGTTGTACGAAGGATGTACGAAGGGTGGATAGCGCTATCCGACGAATAATCTTATCCACTGGATAAATTTATTGGATAACCGCATCGACTTATCCACTGGATAAGTCGTTAACCGCAGGATAGCTCTATCCACCCTTTGGACAACCCGGTCCAGAAGTATAGATGATCTACTCACTTGTTTTGAATGACAGGATTTTCATTTGACCTTGACCTTTGCCTGTAAAACCAGCGATTTGTAGGTGATATTTCATCGCAGGGATAAGATTGGCCAGCACAAGGTAGCGATGATTGGTTGTCGTTGTTATGATGGTCTTTGTGTGGGTGCGTGAATAGTCCTGGTAGTACACGTTGTACCCTAGTAGATTTCCGTGCGTATATTCTTGAGGGATTGGATTCCACGTGATTTGAACGTAGCGGAAGTTGATGAATTTTATTGTTATGTTTGGTGGAGCTCGAACTGGAACTGTGGAAACAAGCAGTACGTTCAAGCAGGTGAATTATCAATTTATTGATTTGATTTTTATTGATTTGAAATCCACTTGAATAGGTGAAAAACATGCACCACAAAACAACAGCAGCAACAGCAACAGCAACAACAACTGAGAGCAACAGCAGGAATAACAACGTCAAGCACAATTTATTTTAATTATCGATCCACTTAAAATTCCCGGGTGGGAGTGGGGGGG